CAAACAATGCATCACACTGGGTAAATAAGCTGCATAAGATCTCTTTAATGTGTTGAGATGTGCTTCATGCATTGAAAAGCTAGGACATGACTTAAACCACAGTGATTTCCATGGCCTCCAGATCCATGTGAAATTTGGATGTTGAATAAGAAAGACCAAACAGGAATCAATGTGTTTGAATTATGGTGCTGGTGAACAATATTGAAAGCACCATGGACTGTCTAACGAAGAAAAAAAATGTGTCTTGGAAGTAGAGCCAGAATTCTTCTTGGAGGCAATGATGGAGAGACTTTGTTCCAGGTACTTTGGACATGTTGTCAGGAGAGGCCAGGTCCTAGAAAAAGGACAAACTGCTGTTAAAGAAAAAAAAAAGGAAGACCCTTGACAAGAGGGATTCAAGTGTAAGAACAATTGTGAGGATGGTGCAGAATTGGACACTGGTTTGTTCTGTTGTACTTGGGGTTATGAATCGGCAAACCAAACATTTCCTATTTTCATCAGGAGCATTAACTGCAGGGCACAGTCCTCCTTCAAAAAGCAGAGGCTGAAGAGAGTTCCTCCCATGACTCTTTCAATCCCATTCACCTGTTTAGGCACATGTTTTAGGTAATAACATGCATGTAGTTCGTGTTGGTCCATATGAATGCTTTCTTGTCTATTTTCATTATAACTAGATCCAGAAATGTATTATAAATCTTGTAACTCCAAACCAAGAGCACTGGTGTTAATGGTTAAATTCTTGACTGATAATCAAAAGATTGGGAATTCAAGCCTACCAGCTGCTCTGTGGTGAAAAAAGATCCGGTGACCTGCCCATAAAGACTACAACCTAGGAACCTTTGCGAGACAGCTGTCCTCTGTCCTCCTGTAGGGTCTTAATGAGGCTGAATCAACTAGTCTGCAAAAAACATCCCTGTAACCCGGTTCTCTTTCCCCACCACCAGCCAGTTATACTACGTTTGCCATGGCTGTCCTCTGAACAGACCCAAAGCCTTGAAAGCTTCATCCCTTAACGACGCAGGGGATATTGCAGGACTGTGGACTGTGAAAATAAAAAAAATATTTGTCAAACCTCTGGACTCGTGAGTTGTGAAAGATAATTGTGAGCACAAACCTGTAGAAAGTGGGAATGTGTCTCTCATCTTTCAGAGTCACCCAATGCCCATATCCAGGTATGTTTGACTTCTCATCAGAGGACGACCACCTCCCCATGTGAATGCCCTATTTGAATCCACCTTTCTAAGGAGATATACCAAATTAAGTTTCCCCCTTATAGCACGGGGTAGGAAAATGAATTTAAATGCTACTTTATGCTATATAAAATGATACACATTTTGTAACTCTTTCCCCCTTGGATGCTTTCCCTCTTTACGCTTACATATATGAGTGTTTTTTAAAGACATTAAAGATTGTATTGAAATTAGATAGTAAGAAAAGGGACATAACTGATACATATTTTATTTGGTTTCATCTGTTACATAGGGAGCTTTGGCTAGATAATTGAAAAAAGAAAAAAAAAAACTATCTTTAATTTCTGAGATCCTGTGCCCAGAGTAATATCTATCAGATGCACTATTGATCTGTACTTTGTCTCTGTACTCGCCTATTAGGTCAAGAACATCTGCAGATACTACAGCATAGGGTTTCACTGCATTTCACCTAATTTTTATTAAGAAAAAAATATTTCAGAAGGATAGGTTTGCAAGGGACATTTCCAAAATTCACGGTGAAAGACAGATCATTTGAGCATGACGGAAAGTCACACATAACCTTTTGTGCTCTGGTATCTCATTTCAAAAATGTCATTTTCTGCTTATTTAATGCAGCTGTCATTATACTATTTTAAGAATTATTATTTGTGTTCTGGAGCGGAACAGGAATTATTGCTTCTATCTTTGGGCTTATTAGGAATAACTTAGAATTCATTCAAGAGCCAGAAAAATAATCCTTGTATTATGGTTGAATTTGGTCAAATGTTGAAATTTGCAATGCAGTTTTTATTAGTAGTATTTTATCTCTTATGTATGTGTGTAGAGCTAAATGATTTTTAAGTACTTTTTAAAGAACTGACTTTAAACCAGGAATTATTCTGTACTTTATAATTCTCTAGCATGAGGTTACATGAGAATAAATTATGGACTGAAGTTATTTAAGGTCTCCAATTTTTCCTTATCCAGGTAAACTAACATATGTAATAGTTGAAATACATTTCCATGGATTTACTTTGCTGCTTTATGAATTATTCGCTCCATACTTAGTCTAGACAAATCCTGGTGGTATAAGTGGGTCATGTGCTGGGCTGCTAACTGCAAGATCAGCAGGTTGAATCTACCAATGCTCAGCAGGCTGAAGATGAAGCTCTACCCTGACCTATAGGGTTACTGTGAGTCAAAATCAATTTGATAGCGATGAGTTTGGTTTTTAGGTTTATACTTGTAGTAGGTTAAACTGAATGACAGTAAATGAGGAGATAAATTGATTCATTTGAAAGAAAAATGTGTCTCCTCCTCTGACGTTCCACACAGGTCTATGAGATTGGAAAAGGGAAGTTGGATGGGAAGGAAGTGTTATGCCATCTGGAATAGGAGCTTCCCAATTTGAAGGAATGGATATACTTATTCATTCAGATCCTCTGTATGATCTTTCACACTTTATTCTCAGGATAATCTTTAAACCGTCATTTCTAATGTGGATCAGGATAATGGGCAACCAGAAAGAAGGAAAAAAGTTTGTCTGAATTATGTGGATCTGCTTGCATCAAGCCTTTTTTGCCATGTAGGGAGAGGAAGAGGAAGAGAGGAAGGTTTTCTCTCGGTAAAGCTAGTGTAAGCATTTTTCTAGCTGCTAAGGAATGGAACAAGGGGAAGAGAGTGAAGCCAGAAGTCAGTATGCCCAAACCAAACCCTAACACCCCCACCTCATCACCACTACCACCATCAAGAGAATGGACCAGAATTCAAATAGCATGTAGCTCGCTGGGAGCTGGACATGGGAGAATGAGTTCAAGAAGAACCTACGGTTGGACTCCTTCAAGTTATCTCTGAGAGTCAGCCAGCCTTGTCCACTGGGTTACCATTTGGTTTGTTTGTTTTTCAGAAGTTTTGTACATCATATAATTATTTCTTTAAAAAATATAAAAGGGAATGTAAAAGGGTCATTTCTAAAACCAGTGAAAATTGAAGCCAAGTGAAGAGGCACAGAGCGGCTGTGGCCCATAGGCTGTTCTGGGTCTTTCCCCCAGAACAAGTGTCTGCTTAGTTCTCATTCATAGGATCTACCTCTGGGCTGCTCACAGTTGGCACTAAAAGGCCCCTGGAAAATGGCATCTGGTTTTTCCCTAGCATGGGCCAAAGGGAAAGTTTAAATACATTAAGAACCTTCATTTAAAAACAAACAAACAAAACCATTGGATGGAAAGGAGGAAAATCATTATTATGGGCTCAATGGATCAGACTATTTCAAATCTGGAATCACTTCAAAAAATCAAGACGCATTGCCACCACTGCACCGTGTGATCCCTTCCCTCTCTCTGACATCACGATCATTGGCCAGAGCACCCATCGAGCTTATCTGGGAGAACTCTTTAGTAAGTTTGAGAAAAACTCCTGCAATAGCATGAGCTACGCTATCCCTGTATCGTTGTAAGTTTCCATATCGATGCTTTGAGGCTGGGCGTTGGTGGGGGTGGTTGCAGGGGGGGGCAGACTTCTGGTGTTTCCTGGCTTATGTTTTGAGATTCTTCCCTTTAGGCTAACAAATTACAGCCTCTTATTTTCTTGCATGTTTATGTCCATGAGATATACCATCAGCTTACCCTGTTTGCTGCCATCTCTCCTAAGCAGCTATAACTTGCTCTGTTGCATAATAATGATAATCACTGTAGTCATACATCAACATAATGCGATAATGAGCTAATCACAAGACTCCTGGCATCTCTTGTGCAGAGGGAACAATTGATTTCAGCCTGAGACATTTGCCAGCCCGTCACGCCCTGCTGTATGATGTCAGCAATGTAGGCCCTGTGAGAAAAGTAGGCTGCCAGCAGACAATGGGATTCTCTGATACACTTCAGCTGTGAGTGTTCAGGAGTTATTCTGGGAGATTTCACATCATCCCATGGCTCGTCATCATTTAAAACTCTCCAGAGAATTCTGATGTGTCGGTAGACAATATCTAGTAAATTCATTTCAAGACAGCATTTGGGATATCAGGAGATCTTATGAACAAAAGCAGACAAATACACTGCAATCAACAGTATTTGGAGATTCGGAGATGAACTTGTCTACCTCATAAGATTGTCACATCCATCTCCACTGAAGCATGAGATCCACCAAGGTAGATGTTATTCATCTCAACCAAGACAGATATGAAGTCTGGCAGGTTGGGGCATTTTTTATCATAAATGCAAGCAGAAGTAATCATTTGTAATAGTCCCATTTTCCATGGCTAGCAGCATGATTCTGGCACCAATTTTGATGAATAGGAACTGTGGTTTTTTTCCCTTGTTTCCTTGAGTGTCTCTCTCAATGAATTTTTTTTTTTAGTTGTTACATCTTTTCTTTTTTGTTGTTGTTGTTGTGGTTGATTTATTTTTATTTTCTTTGCTATCATGAGTCTCTTCCTTGTCTGTGTGATTTTTTTTTTTGAGAATTTTGAGAGGTCAAATTTTAAGTAGTGTGGGATTGCAATTAGTAAAGACATGGTTCACCTGCAGGTTTCTATTTGGAAATCTTAAGGCAGAGAAGCAAATAATCCTGGTCTCACTGCATTTGCAAGGGTTGGTTCCTTGTCATCAGATTGAAGGTAAGCCTGAGAGCTGTTCTGTTGCCAGGTTTTCTAAATATGGGCGAGGTGAGGCATTTCCAGTCATAGCCTACGCCAGAAATGAACACTTTAGAGCTGTAACTTCAAGAACAAACGATGTACTCATTCGTGCTTTCGGATTGTACGCATCCATTTAACATTTGCCCCCTGCCTTCTTGTCTGTCTTCCTCTTGCAGTGTCGGCCAAACCCAGACCCCACAGTGATGAATACTCCAAGAAGATTCCTCCTCCGAAGCCCAAGCGGAACCCCAACACCCAGCTGAGCACGTCTTTCGACGAGACCTACATCAAAAAGCACGTGCCCAGGAGGACCTCCCTCACGCGGGACACCTCCCTGTCGCAGGCGGGCAGCCCCGCGGGCGACGCGGAGGAAGAGGAGGAGCCGGTGTACATCGAGATGGTGGGCAACATCCTCCGAGACTTTCGGCGAGAGGAGGACGACCAGAGTGAGGCTGTCTACGAGGAAATGAAGTACCCTATCTTCGATGACATCGGCCCAGACGCCAAGTGTGACCTTAATCATCACAGTTGTTCTTCGCAGTGTGCTACCCCCACAGTGCCTGACTTGGACTTCGCCAAGTCCTCAGTGCCAGGGACCCCCAAGGGCCTGCTCTGTGACATCCCCCCGCCCTTCCCCAACCTGCTCTCCCACCGCCCCCCGCTGCTCGTGTTCCCGCCAGCCCCTGTGCAGTGTTCCCCCAATTCCGACGAGTCTCCGCTCACCCCCCTGGAGGTCGCAAAGCTGCCGGTGTTGGAGAACGTGTCTTACCTGAAGCAGCAGGCCGGGCCGTCGCCATCCTCACTGCCATCGCACCCCTCCGGCCACGCCAGGCTGGAGAAGGACCAGGGCGGTACCCTGGGCGCTGCGTCTGCCACTGCAGTGCTCTCCTCGTCCCCTCCTCACCCCTCCACTTTGTACCGAGCGCAGAGTCCGCATGGCTACCCAAAAAGTCACTCAGCCTCGCCCTCCCCTGTGAGCATGGGGAGGTCCCTAACCCCCTTAAGCCTCAAGAGGCCTCCCCCCTACGACGCTGTGCACTCCGGCAGCCTTTCTAGGAGCGCGCCATCAGTGCCTCACTCGACGCCCCGACCAGTGTCGCAAGATGGGGCCAGGATGGTCAACGCATCCGTGAACACCTACGCCTCGGCCCAGAGCGGCTCCCGGTCCAGAACCCCCACGAGTCCTTTGGAAGAACTGACCAGCCTCTTTACCTCAGGACGAAGCCTGCTGAGGAAGTCTTCCAGCGGCCGCCGTTCTAAAGAGCCCACAGAGAGTAAGTGCCACAGCCCGCATCCTGGGCGCCTCCCGCTGGCGGGCCCGTGGGAACCAGGAAGTTAGGTCCAGCTCTGGTGGCTGCAGATCCACCGCTCGGTGCAGCATCCTTAGTGCGCTTCGTTGAAATCTCCAAATGGAAACAGGAGGGCTTTGACTCTTGTTAGGCTAACCCAAAGGGTAGACAGAAAGAGGTAGTCCGTGCCGTATAATATAGCCTAAGAGCGATTGAAAATTAAATATGAAAATATCTAAATTCTTACAGTACCGCTTGATAGGCTAATGCAGAAAATAAAGGTTACTATGATATCTTCAGGTAAATACCTTGACAGGTGGATGGGAAGAAGTACCTGCTCAAATATGGAATGTATAAATATGATCATTTATTTTTATCTTATACTGAAAGGCTGCTTGAGGGAAAACTATGATAGGATGGATTTACTGAAAAGAAAATGAAATGTTTTCACATATTTGGCTATATTCTTCCCGTCACTTGAAACCAGAATGGGTGCCTTGTTTCCTTTTTAAAGCTTTGGTAATCATCTTCTTATTTCTACAGTACTTGGTGACCCGATGTGTTATGGAGTAGAACTGTCCAAAAGATTTTCTCAATCTTTCTCCTTTTTCAACAGTTTTATTGGCATAGAAGCTATGTACTGTATTGTGTAATTCAGTAGTTCAATATTTAAGAATAGTTAGACAATCATCGCCACAATCAATTGGAGACTGCTTCTGTCTTTCTTGTACTCATAGTTACCAGTTCCCCATTTCTTCCTCAACATTTGTCCTTATAGCAGCAAATCTCCAAGCCTTTTCTTCCATAACGCCGCTGAGTGGGTTCAAACCACCCATCTTCTGGTTGCCAGCCCACTGAACATGGTTTGTGCTACCCTTAAATTAAGAAAAAAAATTGCAAAGTCATAAATAGGTGACAGCAATTAATTTTACTAATGAAGTTCAAAGACCCTTACAATTACTCATTTTAATAGTAAATCCTTTTTTAAGCCCCAAGTCTTCCCCAAAATAGATAGTAAAAGCCAATGCAGAACCCAGTGATCAGCATGCCTGTTACTTCCCTGAGGCTGACTTTGAAGCATACCATAGATGTGTCATTGAAATGACAGAGTTGTCCTCCTCAGGCCTAGAGGCTTCTTGGTCGGCTTGGGTTCCCTAGAAGGAAACAGTGCCCACCCAGTCCTTGACCAGTTGCCTCACAGTCACTGCTATGGTTCAGGATAGTTTGCAGCCATTGTGTCAATCAATCTCATTGAGAATGGTTCTCTGATCCTCTACCTTACCATTCAGGCTGTTCTTCTCCGGGGACTGTTCCCTCCAGATAGCATGTCTAATATGTGGGGAAAAGTCTTCCTATCCTCACATCTAAGGAGCATTCTAGCCATACTTCCCCCTACAGATTTATTCATTTCTATGTCAGTACACTGTATATTCCATGTTCTTTACCAACACCGTGTGTCAACGACATCAACCATTCTTCCCTTCGTCTTCTTCATCTACTGTTTTGCTTTATCATGTATATGAGGCGATTTAAAATCCTATGGCTTGGGTCAGGCAAATCTGAGCCTTCAAAGTGACAGCTTTACTTTTCAATACTTCAAAGAGCTGCTTTTCAAGGGCTTTGCCAAACGCAATATTTTGGAAAACTAGTAAGTTAGCTTCAGGGTGATAGCAGCACATTCCCTCTGAAAGCTTTTGTGAAAAATCCTTTCTTATTTCTCTGGTGTTCTGAATCAAATCATGTCCCCTAAAATGGTATGTCAACTTAGCTGGGCAATAATTCTCAATGGTTTGGCAGTTAGGCAATGATGTGACTGGGCAGTGTCATTCCCCATGATGTGAAATTATGTCATCAGCCAATCAACTGTATGGCAATTCAGGTAGGATGTGACACCATTCGTCAGGTCACACCCCTGACCCAATGTAGTCTACCTCACCTTTTACCCTACAGAAAATAAATGAAGAGAAAAGAAAGCAGAGAAGGAGGGGCCTGATCACCAACAAGAAAGAAGCATTGAGAGTTGAGTGTATCCTTTGGACTTAATATACCCATGCTGAAAACCTTCTAGACCCAAGGGAAGATTCATACCCAGACACATGGAGATCTCTGAGGATTGCCCCACCCACAGATATTGAAAAGGGACAAGGACCTTCCCCAGAGCCAACACAGGGGCAAAAGAACCTTCTTCTAGATCTGGCGCTCTAAATTTTAACTTCTCGCCTCCTAACTTTTGAGAGAATAAATTTCTGGTTGTTAAAGATGTCCTTTTAGGGGGTGTTTCTGTTATGGCAGCACTGGACAACTAAACTATCTTCTTGTAGCTTAGGGGGTTCTTGACATTCTTCGGCATATAACTGCATTTTCTCATGATGGTTTTCATGCTATGTGTCCATCTGTGTCTGTGCCGCTTCTCTTTCATGAGGGGCACCACTCAAATAGGCTTAGGATACACCCTACTTCCTATTGACTTAATTGATAACATCTTCAAAGACCCTATTTCCAAACAAGGTCACATTTACAGGTACCTATGGTTAGGACTTCAACATATATTCCTGGGATATATGATTCAATTCATTATAATGTCCATTTAATTAAGTTACATAGATTCTTCTATTTAAAACTACTTCTAATTACTTGCATCTCTAATAGTGTCACCACATGATTCTGCTATTAATCTAGTCATACACTTCAACATTCCTTTTTTTAATATCATTTTATTAGGAGCTCATACAACTCTTATCACAATCTATACATACATCAACTGTGCAAAGTACATTTGTACATTCATTGCCCTCATCATTCTCAAAACATTTGCTCTCCACCTAAGCCCCTGGCATCAGCTCCTCATTCCCCCCGCTCCCCACTCCCCCCTCCCTCATGAACCCTTGATAATTTATAAATTATTATTTTGTCATATCTTGCACTATCTGACGTCTCCCTTCACCCACTTTTCTGTTGTCCGTCCCCCAGGGAGGAGGTTATATCTAGATTCTTGTAATAGTTTCCCCCTTTCCAACCCACCCTCCCTCCACCCACCCAGTATCGTCACTCACACTACTGGTCCTGAAGGGATCATCTGCCCTGGATTCCCTGTGTTTCCAGTTCCTATCTGTACCAGTGTACATCCTCTGGTCTAGCTATATTTGTAAGGTGGAATTGGGATATTGATAACGGGGGGTGGGGGGAGGAAGTATTTAGGAAATAGAGGAAAGTTGTATTTTTCATCGTTGCTATATTGCACCCTGACTGGCTCATCTCCTCCCCAAGACCCTTCCGTAAGGGGATCACTTTGACATTCTTTATAGAAAAATACATCCTCAATATCTTTTATGATGAAGATGATAATGATGATCCTTGGATAATTAATCTTAATTGATACTCCTAAGCCATTCACTTTGTCTTCTTTTCTTGTTCAATAGAGTGATGTATGAATTCCATAGTTCACTTAAGTAATCTATCCCCCAACAATTAATTTACCTAAAATACAGGTTCAAATCCAACAACCACTACTCAGCAGAAAGATGAAGCTCTCCCGCTCCCATAAAAATCTATAACTTTGAAAACCCTATCTAGGGTCTCCATGAGTTTGAATCAATTGATAGCAGTGAGTTGGGTTTGCTTTTGACCTACATACCTACAATTCTGTTCAAACTTGTTTTTTAAAATTAAGTGGATAATTAAGAACAACTAATTTCTTGAGGCCTGCACCTCAAATGGGGCAATTTTGCCCTCAGGGGACTTTTTGGTAGTGTCTAAAGATAATTTTGGTTGCCAACACCTGGGAGGTACTTCTGGCATTTATTAGGTCATCGGTTCTCAACTTGTGGGTCACGACCCTTTTGGGGGTCGAACGACCCTTTCACAAGGGTCATCCAATTCATAACAGTAGCAAAATTACAGCTATGAAGTAGCAATGAAAATTCATTTTAAGGTTGGGGGATCATCACAACATGAGGAACTATATTAAAGGTCGCAGCATTAGGAAGGTTGAAAACCACTGTATTAGGTAGAAGCCAGGAATCAACATCCTTACAGGATGTTATACTTTGCAGTACACAGGATAGCCCTCCCACCCCAAAGGACTATTTAGCCCCAAACGTCAATAATACCAAGATTGATAGCTTAAGATCCAGATAATTTATTGAAGTTATCAAGTTTGAAAGCAAGTTTGAAATGATTTAAATATGGTTCAATTAAAGTTCATTAAAGCAAAAAAAAATTGTTCCCCATTGTTACTGTTTCCTTTTGACAATTTTTAAGTATTTCACTTTTTAAATCCATAAGCATTTATAGGAAATCAATGAAGTTTTCACACTGGAAGTAGTAAAATTATAGGACTTCCCTACTACCTACCAGCAACTTTGGATAATCCTTAGCAGATCCAGCTGGCAGCTCTACCAATTAGCAAGAAAAAGTACATGTAAAATAAATGATTAACTAATAGAATTATTTCAAGAAAAAATCCATCTGTGAGAGTCAGTCTGTGTGCTACATCTCACAGACGTCTCCAGTCGGCTCCAAAATGAGCTTTGTGCACTTCTCAAACAAAGCTCAAAGCTGGAATGTGGAAAAGTGATTCTGGCTGTTTAGCACTTTTAGAAAGCCTAGGATTGAATTACACCCATGCGGCACAAAGCATATATCAGCTCTAGTTTAGAGAAACGACATGCCCCTGAGTTACAATAACCTTGATATTTTACTTTGCCTAAAAGGAAATATAAATAGAAGAGAGGAAAAATACAGCTAGTGCAAATGAATAATCTAATGCTACTTACTCTGGTGGAAAATAGAAAGGCATTACCAGGTGCTAACAGCACAACACAACTTCTCAGACTTTTTCCGTACACTTCGAAAATAGATCCAACATAGTTGATAACTGAGAAATATAAATGGAAGACTTATAGTCAAAAGACACAGGAGTAAAAAAATAGACTAGGCTAGAAGAGACCAAGCCACAGAGGCAGACACAACTGAAATGCATTTAT